CTGCCTGTTGGTTTGTCATAGATGGCCTTTATTATATTGAGGTAAAGACCATCTATTCCAACTTTCTGTAAAGTTCTTATCATAAATGAATGTTGGACCTTATCAAAAGCTTTTTCTGCATCTATAGAAATGATCATGTGATTCTTACTTTTGGTTTTATTGATATGGTTGATTATATTTATTGATTTACATATTTTGAACCATCCCTACATTCCAGGGATGAATCCCACTTGGTCTTGGTGTATGATCTTCTTGATGATTTGCTGCATCCTATTTGCCAATATTTTATTGAGGATTTTTGCATCTGTGTTCATTAGGGAGATTGGTCTGTAGTTCTCTTTTTTAGTTGGGTCTTTCTCAGGTTTTGGTACTAGAGTAATACTTGCTTCCAGGAATGACTTAGGAAGGATTGCTTCCCTTTCAATTTCATTGAAGAGTTTGAGGAGTGTCGGCATTAAGTCTTCTTTGTACTTCTTGTAGAATTCTGCAGTGAATCCATCTGGGCCTGGGCTCTTTCTTTGTAAGTAAGGACTTAATTACATTTTCAATTTCATTAATAGAGATTGGGTTATTCAGCAGTTTTACATCTTCTTGACCTAGCTTTGGTACTTCATATATTTCTAGGAATCTGCCCATTTCTTCTGTGTTATCAAACCTGTGAGAGTAGAGGTTTTCAAAATAGGTGTTGATGATTTTCTAGATTTTCTATATTTCTACAGAGTCTGTAGTGATTTTGCCTTTTTCATTCCTTATTGCATGAATTTGAGCTTTTTCTTCCCTTTTTTTTAAATAAAGTTGGCTATGGGCTTATCAATTTTATTTATTCTTTCAAAGAACCAACTCTTTGATTCATTGATTCTTTGGATTGTTTTCTTAGTCTGTATTACATTAATTTCTGCTCTGATTTTTATAATTTCCTCTCTTCTTTTGGCCTTGGGCTTGACTTACTGTTTTTTTTCTAGATGTTTGAGGTGTAACATCAGGTTGTTTATTTGTATTCGTTCTGTTTTCCTGTTATGGGAACTCAGTGCAATAAATTTTCCTCTGAGGACAGCTTTTATTGTATCCCACAGATTCCAGTAAGTTGTATTTGTATTTTCGTTTGCTTGTAGATATTGTTTAATTTCTTCTTTAATTTCCCTTGTGACCCACTGATTACTCAAGAGTGTGTTATTCAGTTTCCATGTATTTGTGGGATTTTTGCAGTATCTTTTATCATTAATTTCTAATTTCATGGCATTATGATCCAATAACATGCAAGGGATAATTTCAACTCCTTTCCATTTATTTAAATGTGTTCTGTGAGCTAATATATGGTCTGTTTTAGAGAATGACCCATGTACTGCTGAGAAGAATATGTATTCTGATGTTGTTCAATGGAACACTCTGCATATGTCTATCAAGTCCATTTGTTCACCAGTGTGATTAAGTTGTTATTTCTTTGCTGCTTTCTGTTTGGTTGATCTGTCCCTTGGTGCCAATGGTGTTTTAAGGTCTCCTGTTATAATTGTGTTACTGCTAATTTGGTTTTTCATTTCTGTTCATAATTGTTTTATATAACTGGGTGCTCTAGAATTTGGTGCATCTATATTTAAGATTATTATCTCAAAAAAAGATTGTTATTTCTTCCTCTTGAAGTTTTCCCCTAACTAGTATGCAATGACCTTTTTTTATCTCTTCTGATAGTTATAGGTTTTAAGTTCACATTGTCTGCAAATAGAATAGCTACCCCCATTTTTGGGGGGTTCCTGTTGCATGAGATATTGTTTTCCATCCTTTGACTTTCAGTCTGTGAGTATCCTTTTGGGTTAGATGGGTTTCTTGTAGACAGCATATAGTTGGATTTTGTTTCTTGATCCATTCTGCCAGTCTGTTTGTTTTAATAGGTGCACTGAGTCCATTTACATTAATGGTTATAAACTGTTATATGTTGGTTTATTGTTGACATGTTATCTTTCTGCTGTTGCATCTTTATCTTTCTGTTCTGTTTAATTGTCTGCTTTGCTTAGTGGTTTTTTCCTAAGTGTATCTAAACTGTCTTTCAGTATTCTTTGCAGGGTTGGCTTGGTGATCATGAAGTTCTTCAGCTGTTCTTTGTCATGGAAGTATCTTATTTCTCCATTGATTTTGAAGGACAGTTTTTCAGGGTACATCAGTCTAGGTTGGAAATCATTTTCCTTTAGAATCTGAAATACTTCACTCCATGCTGTTTTTGACTTTATTGTTAGTGCTGAGAAGTCTGCTGTGATTCTGATAGGTTTTCCTTTATAGGTGATATATCTTTTCTCTCTGACAGCTTTTAATATTCTATTCTTTTGTTGGATTTCTGGGATAGTGATTATTATATGTCTGGGTGTAGTTTTATTTTGGTTATGGCTATTTGGAATTCTATATGATTCACTGATCCTGATGTCAGTTTCTATTCTCATGTTTGGGAAATTTTCAGCTATTACTTCTCTAAATATCCTCTTGACATCCTTTATGTTGTCCCTTTTTTTTTCATTTATCCCTATCAATCTTATGTTGTTTTTCTTTGCATCATCTTGCAGTTATTGAATTGTTACTTCCTGATTTCTTGTTATTTTTAAAAGATCTTTCCTTTCCTGTTCACTATCTGCAATCTTGTCTTTGAGGTCTGAAATTATATTTTCCCTTTCATTGAGGTGGTTTTTACAGCTTTCAATGGAATTTTTTATTTCCTGTATATCTCTTTGCATCTGCTTTATGTATTCTGTTTATTTCTTATATTCTGTTTATTTCTTATATCCAGGGATTCTATCTTTTTGTTTAGTTCCTCCAATTTTTTAACTGTGTCTTCTTTAGATATGTTCAGCATCTCTTTCATTTCTTTTATCATTTCTTCTTTTACCTGGGAGATTATTTCTAATTTGAATTCCTTTAAAGCTTCCCAGAGTTGCTTCTTTATTTCAGTTGCTATTATGTCCAGTATTTCAGGTGTATGGCATATATTTTCTTCTATATACATAGCTCTTAAGGTTTCTTGGGATGAACTGGAGGTTTGAGATTGTAATTTGGTCTTTCGTTTTGTCATTTTCCTATATCTCTGTGTTTCAAGTGTTATTCCAAGGCTTCCCCAGGGCCTGTTGGAAATCCTCTTCTATGCCCTCAGCTCCTGGAACTCTGGCCACCCAGGTCCCCAGATTGAGAGAGGGTTACTGGGGGTGAGGCAGGCTGGCTCAAGACCCGCTGAGCTGGTCTAGTGCAACAGGAAGCTGTGAAATTCCCTGTCTGGGGCCGAGCAAGCAAGGGTCCCAAACTAGCTCAGCTTGGGGGATGGTGCAGGGACACTCACCCCAGGTCGCCCAGCCTCTGGAACAGATGGCACTGGCAGGCCCAGAGACTCGGCTTTTCATCTAGTTTGTGGAGGTTTCACTCTGTAATCAGTTGGCTTCAAGGCAGGGTAGTGCGGCACCAGGGCAACACTTTAAGGCAGCCTCAGTACCCACTTTTATTCTTGATACTGTTCTCTTACAGTGCCCCCTCCAACAGTAATCCTTCCGTTTTCTTTTCATTAACATTTGGATGGTATACCTGTGCCCACATTTTTGCTTTTAACTCATTGATGTTCCCGTCTTTAACATTTGCTAGTTTTCCCACTGATCTTTTAGCATAGTAACCATAATTATTGTAAGGGCTTTGTCAAATAATAGCAACGCCTGAATCAACTCTGTGTCTGGTTTCTTAACACCTACAATAGCTGTTTTCTTTTTTGCTTTTTATTGTCTTAAAATATTTTTACTGGAGATTGATAAATATTATTTATGATAGAACTGATTTATTTATGATAGAACTGTGGGGGACTGGCGGTGGCTGAAAAGATAAGAAGTATGAAATATAAATGACCTTTATTTTGAGAATGTGGGGAGAGACACCCCCAATCCCCTGGGGCGTGGCATCTCCCCCCACCCCCACCCCGGGGTCGGCGATCTCTCCGTGGAACACGTGGAGAGGAGGCATATAAGTAGCCTCGGTTTGGGGTGGAACCTAAGGGGGCATTAGGGATGCACAGGTAGCCCATTGGGCTTTGTTTGGCGCCATAGGTAAATTCCTAGGGGTAAGGGAGATAGGAGCTCCTTGGTTCTGCCTCTAAGCCTTCACCAGCTACAGTGTCCTGGCTGGGCCAAAATTCTTTCAATTTATGCCTAGAAATGGGCAGTTCTTTTCTTTTACTTCCTGTTGGTACCAGTGATTGAGTCAGTCTAGTCAAACGAGGCTCATTTTTTGGGGCTGTAGTTACCTTCACTGTGTCCCTGGCTTCCGATTGTCTGTCAGCGGGGGCTGCTGCCCTGTGGTTGGTGTGAGCACTGTGTGCTGGCAGCCTGCAGGCTTCCTTGCCGTGTTCTTGCTCTTCCTCAGTGCTGGCTTCTCAGTACCAGAAGCGGATGAGGCTGGGGATTCTCTTGCCCTGTCCTCCATCTTAGATGGCCCTGTGTCCCGGGCTTCAGAGCTGGCACTCTTCCAACATTTCTGTCCACCTTCTCTGGTGGCCGCCAGCCAGATGGGTCCGGTGAAGAAGGCCTTACACCCAGCTCCAGCAGTACCCTGTGCTGTCATTTTGCTTCCGGTGGCCGCTGCTCTGGCCTGGTGTTTCCACCACTCCCCAGACTGCCTTTGCTCTGAAGGTGAGCGACTTCTATAACCGTCACCCTACTGGGAATGGGCAGGGTATCCATTCTCATTAGGGTGATAAACACCAACATCTCGTTACCTAGTTTAATACCGTAACTATGAAAATATTTTTTAAAATTGCCTCTGAGTCCACTTCCATATCAGACAGTCAATCAGTCTTGAAACAATAATGAACAAATCTTTCTGAAGAGTGAATTTGGACCTTTGGACTATCCAGCAGAGAATCAGAAGCACTGGCATTTTAGAAGAGCTCTTTATTCTGTGTTACTGACCCAGAGTGTGACACAAAGACACTCACTTTTGCTTGAAGGCACGCGAGCTTCAACCCCATCTGTCTCCTAACATCTCAGGCATCGGCGGTAACTTGGTGGCCATCCAGGCGAGCAGGATTTCTACCTACCTCCATTTGCACAGCACCCCGGGAGAGCTGCCTGAGGAGCCCAGAGGCTGTTACTACCCCTGGAGGACTTTCATTGGTCCAGGTATGTGCTTGGGACTCGTGCATATTTTATGTCAGGAACTGCAGCTCCTTGCGACTGCAGGCAGACAGCACTTGTTGGACACTGAGGTTGTAATGCTGTGTAGGGTTCTGTTTCTGAGAGCTGATCTCAATGTACAGATGTTCCTCCAGATCACTTCTGCAGCTGCTGAGATCTGTGCATCATTCTCTCTCAGGCCTGTCTGGGATACCAAGTTTTATAAGTCAGGAAACAGCAACCTAAGACTCATACAGGCACATTGGTAGGTGGTTGAGGGAGAGAGACATACTCTTTTTCCTATTTTAATCTTTCAACCATTCTTTTTAACTTCTCCTTCCATGCTGGGGAATGAACTCTGGGCCTTCAAACCGAGCTGCTTCCCCAGCACCACACCCGCTCTTTTATTTCGAGATAGTCTGAATTGCTGAGCTGCTCCTGCCTCAGTCTCCTGGCACCACACGGCTGTCTCATTGGGCTTTCTAAGTGGAAGCGTCGGACCTAAACACTTGGACGGGGGATAACACGAGCCGGAAGGATCAGTGCATAATTTTTGTCACCCAGACACACGACTACTGAGAAACATAATTTTAAGCCTCATAGTCCTTGTCACTTTTTTCCTGATAAAAATGAAATTATTGGAGCTGGGGATTTAGCTCAGTGGCATAAGCACTTGCCTTGCAAGCATGCGGTCGTGAGTTCAATCCCCAGTACTGATAAAAAAAAATGAAATTACTGACTTTTGAATGAAGATAAGAAATGCTCAGCTTTGATTTTTTAATGGCAATGCTTTAAGAACTTTGTATTTTCTCTATTATCTGCCCTCTTTTTATGATTGATATTATAGTCCAACCACTGGTCTTTTTTGCTTTATTTTGTTTTGTTTCGGAGACAGGGTCTCAGTGTAGTTCAGGCTATGCCTGAACTCCCTGGTGACCCAGGCTGGCCGTGAGCTTGCAGCAATCACTGTGCCACCACCTCCTGAGTGCCGGGTGTGTGCCACCAGCCTGACTCTCAGCCACTTAGTCACGTAGCAGATAGGGAGCATTTCAAGGAATTAAGTGCACTGTAAATACTGCAGCTTATTTTTAACAATTGAACTTCTTGCAGCATGCCAACAATAAAGTGATGCTCAAATCTTAATAACGCTGACGTGTTACTAGCCAAAACATGCTTTTGTTTTAAACACGTGTATGTTTTTTTCTTGCAGGGGTGAATAATAAATCTGCCCAAGTTCTGCTGCTCTTAGTGATTCCTGGACATTTGATTTTCCTTTACACTATTCACCTGATGAAAAGTGGCCACACTTCGCTCACCGTGATCTTTGTTGTCGTGTACTTATTTGCTGCAGTGCTACAGGTAAGAGTGAGAACCTCTTGGGAGTCTTTGTATTCTTAGAGTGCTGTAAAGCTTTAACTGCATCTAAAGGCGCATGACAACATAACGTGCCATTTCAAAACTCAACCGGGTGCCTTCCTGTTGATTTGACCTTGAAAACAGTAACCTCCAGACCACTTTTCCTGCAGTTTATGGAGCCTTTAGATTTTCCATTTCCTGGGTTCCCTGTCTTTCCCTTTTTGGCTCTCTTGTTTTGTATGGATATAAGGCCCAGTATATTCTCGAGGAAGAGGGCATGGGAATACATTTTTTTAAGCCTTTACATTTTATAAAACATTCCATTCTCTCAGTAGGTTGATTGGATGTGAAATTCTGTTTTTTAGGGTGCTTTGTTGTTGGTTTGGTTTGGTTTTGGTTTTTGACAGAGGACCTCCCTAGGCAGTGCGGGCTGACCGTGAACTCACCGTGAATCCTGCCTCAGCCTCCCAAGTGCGGGGTGTGCGCGCTATGCCTGGATCAAATTCTGTTTCTTTTAGGATTTTGAAGAATAGAAAGTTTCACTGCTGTTTAACTTCTTGTGTTATCATCACAGCGAGAGACTCTTCTCCTTCCTGATCCACTGTACAGAACTTCTTTTGTGTCCTGGAAGCTTCTAAGAACTTGTCTTTTTACTTGTTTTGCTTAAATTTCGTGTAATGTGCCCCAAGGTTTCTTAAACTCTATGTTGCTTTACCCTGTATGCATGTATTTTGTCTGTTTTGTTTGACTTTGTCAATCTAAAAACTCAAGTTGTTCATTTCTAGAAATGTTTCTTAGAATTTAAAACAATGACTAGCTCCCTTCCTTCTTCCTGGATCTTTTACTTGGTTCCGTAACCTCTTGCATTAAATGTCTTACCTCTTTTTATTTTGTATTTCTTCATCTCTTTTTGTCATCTTTCTCTATTTCCATCCCTCCTAAATAGTTTCTCTGTGGTGCAAAAGATTTTCATTTTAAAATTAAAAGCAGTTTTAAAGAAAATTAGTTTTACTTCTCAAAATGTGTGATCAATGTAATACATGTTCAGATATTTTCAATTAAATACTACTAAAAGGTTCTATTTTCCTAATTCAATTTCACAGAGACAATCGCCTTGAAACAGTTTAGCTGTAAGTTTTAAGGTGACTTCAAGTTTATGATTAATCTCTTGTAGTTGTGACTACCAAAACTGGACGACTTGGTGGTGTTGGAATGCTTTGTTTTTCCCTTCAGTTATATCACAACTTTTTGCTAAATTGATTGCAAGTATACAGGTTACTAGGCTTTTGCAAACACTATGCAGAGGCAGTTAATTTACTGTGATTGTGTTTCTGTATTTTCTTTTTCTGGCATTATTATATCTTTTCTATTTATATTATTTTCCATAAACCCACCCTTAACTTTTCCAACTGTTAGAACTTTGAGTTCTTGATCATGACTTTTTTCTAAAGTTTAAAGATTTGGTAACTTACACAGTGAAAAATCCTGATTCTTTGAGATAGATTAAAATAATTCTTGAAGAGATTGTATTGATTTTAAATTAAGGTTTTAAATTTCTGATGTTAGCGTAGGAGTCTTTTAGAGCATAATACTAATTTTTATCCTATTCTTAATTCAAGTAAAAAATCAACTTGAGTTTCAAATTGTTTGGGATTTGAAATGGTAGAGTTAGTTTTTATTTTGCCCTTGGTATGTAATATTCCCTTTAAACAATACTTTTTAAAATTAAAAAACTTACGTACAAAATTTATTCTCTGGTAGTTACGTCTCCTGCCATTGACTAATGAAGGAGAAAGAACCCAGTAAAATTCTACTCTGAGACTTACGCAGTTTTTCAGCTGCTACTTAATTAAACTGAACTCTCAAATAAATGTTTTTGACAGGAGGGTCCCACTTGCATGATAGTGTGTGCAGTCAAAGGCATGGTAGGGGTGGGGGGCGCTTGCTGGCCTCGTGGGGGCTCCGTGGCTCTGCCTGCAGTGCTCCTTCCGGGTCACGCAGAGCCACAGGGCCTGACAGGCAGTGGAGGCACGGGCTGCCCGTCGACCAGGCCAGCGCCCTGGCAGCCCACCGAGAGGGAAGGGGCAGCAGTACGCCTTGGTTCAGTCTCCTCTATTTAAAGCCTCTTCCAGTTTCCCTTTGTGTGAGAAATCCTAGCCGGCATCCTTTGTCTGGAAGAGACAGAGGCATGAGTTTGGCTGCTGCGTCTAGACAGGCGGAGACTGCCCCTGGACAGCTGGGAGGAGGGCAGAGCAGCCGGCAGGTGGGGTGACCCGAAGGCGGGCCGGTCTGCCGCCTCACGTTAGCATTTATGCTCGGCTGTCTCTCCCTCATCTAATTAAAACCAAAGCCCTTTTTACTGTTATAATTATCCTTTTATTGTGGTGAGTGTAAGTACGTATGGAGTATGTTAATGTTTCTGGGAATAAAATATTTCAGTGCATAAAGGAAAACAAGACTTTTCTAGCCCGTGATACCTACAGATTTCCAACCAAGTAGTAAACAATAACTTGAAATAATTTCTAAATGAAAATTTTAATCCCTGTTCTAGACTTTCATTGTTTCATAAGAGAATTAGATTATTAAGAACCCTGGTGAAATTCTACAAGTACCAAATTTCATGAAAAATCTATTGTGAAACTTTGGTTGGAAAAACCTTTGTCCCTGGCTGTATTTGTGTTTTGGGGGAGAGAACAATAATATTGCCTTCAAAATTAAAATTCTCAGTATATGAAGTTGAACGTGGTAAATGCCACCACTTGATTAGCCACTGTGTAAAGGCAGTAGCCAGTGGACTGAGGTCTTCTCTTAGTTGTGGGTCGAGACTGCCAGGGGAAGCCTAAGCTTTACGGCCTCCTCACAGCACCCTCTTCCTGCACGGATACTCACAGCTGCTCAGACTCCGTGCGTGCGTCTGACTTTTTGTTTTGTTCATTTTGAGACTGTCCCTTGTTATGCAGCCCAGGCTGGCTTCTAACTTGAGGTGATCCTCCTGCCTCAGTCCCCCAAGTGCTGGGATTACAGATGTGCACCACCATGCCCAGCATGATTTTGTTTTTGGAAGGTCAGAGACTTTTTTGGTTTTAGAGAAAGGATCACAGTGTCATTTTATGACATCTTAAAAGAGTTGAGTAATAAAAAATACAAAACTGACTAGCAAAATAGTAATACTGTATTTTGATCATAATTTTTTAAACCAGAAATCTCTAGTTTTTATTACTGCCACCTTTCAGATAGTAATTCTTAAATTTTAGCCTTATGTAAAAATTGCACTTATATTTCCTAACAGATTTACATTTTGAAGAAAAAGTTTCTCAGCAAAGCCCAAGCCTACCTTAAGCAAGCAAATAAATGCCCGTAATACTTTTAGCGCTTCTTTTTTATAAACAGTAGAAGTCCGAGGCCGTTGAAAGGACAGTTCAGTATGAGTGGCCTGCAGGGCCAGTGCATGGAGGGGCTACACCTCACTGTTCCCTGGAGGAGCTGGCCCGGGAAGCGGGAGGGCGATGACCACTCGTGCTGCAGGAGCAGAGACAGGCCTTAGTCATGAGGCTACAAGCAGGGTTTAAAGACATAAAAATAAATGTGTCCACACAAGGAACTATTCCCAACCGGAGTAGAGTCACATGGCACACACAGAGGCATGGAGGGCGAGGGCTTCGGACCCGGGTCAGGGCTCCTCGGAGGCACACTGGGGCTGGCCCCTCGGTGTCTGCTGCTCTCCCAGGCTGACTTCCCTGCAGCAGAGGCCAGTCATGGGGCCGAGGTGACGCACAGGGAGTGCTCACTGCCCCAGCGCTGGCCTTTCCAGCCCAGGTGGCTCAGCTGAGCGCCTTTCCCAGCAGCCTTGTCCTGCCTTCCACACCCCGAGGCCCTGCTCAGCTCGGCGCCCTCTCTCCTGGGGGCCCTCATTCCAGCTCTTTTCTTGCTCTTCTGGGGGGGCCCTGGGCTTCAGACTCGGCTCTGTCATCGCCTCCTCCTAAATCCGTGCCTCCAGCCTGCACTCCTGTCCTGGTCCTGGTCCTACACGCCACGAGCCAGGATGCAATGCTGCCTGTCCCCTGTGGCTTTCCCACCCAGTGGAGCAGTGGGCAAGAGCCAACAGGCACATCCGGGGAGGAGCCTTAGGCGCAGGGAGGATCCCCAGTCCATAGCTGTATCACACTGACCGTGGAGGCCCTTGGGTGGGGGAGCCTCACTCCGAGGACTCCATGCACGCTGGGGCCCTGAACCCTCGCCTTGGCCGTCCCCGCCGTGTCCTGTCACTCGCTTTCCTGCCCTATAAAGTGAGATGTAGGAACCATCACTAAAGTAACCGTGTAATCCTAATCCAGTGCAGAACCCACAGAGAACGGGGAAGCTGCTGATAATCGGGGTGTGAAGGATAAACGGGCAGATGCAGAAGAGTGGTGATAGGAGGTGTCACTCACCTCTCTGCCTGCATTTGTGATGCATGAGTTTATAAACTCCCACTGTAAAGATAATTCACACAAAAGGATCGCTCTACGTAACTAATAACATGTCTTATTAATACCAAAGCAATCTAGCAGCCAGTTTATTAACATTAAAATAATGTAGAATTACTAGTAAAGTGGCATTAAGTTACATTGGCTTTTATGGGTTGTCCAGAGAACCAGATGATATATAAAATGCTGTTTTCTTGAAAATTATATCCCAGGTCCAAATAACTAACTTTGATTTGCTCTGGTTCATTTGTTTGGTCTGTCTATCTGTCTCTCTTTCTCTCTCTCTCTCTCTCTCTCTCTCTCCCTCTCCTTCTCCCTCCCTCTCCCTCCCCCTCCCTCCTTCCCTCCCTCCCTCTCTCTATGAGACAGGTCTTGTTATGTTGCTCAGACTTGGAATGCTTTTCAATTTATTTTTTTTTATTTTAAAAAGAAAAAAGTCAGAAAAAAAGGCAAAAGAGACAACAACAAACTCAAAACAATAACAACACAGGTTTTCAAACCAGAATGAAAAAGATTTAACAATGCATGTTGTTATGT